CTGTGGCCCGGGTTTTGGACTCTCTTTTTTATGACTCCCAGCTTTGTTCTGACAATTTTTCTTGTCCTTTGTGCAGGGCTTTATCCCAGGTCTTCTACCATGGTCCCCCAACCACGTGCTACTCCCTCCTCTGTCCGGGCTGATGCTAGCAAGGAAAAGCAGATCGTTGGTGAGGATCAAGGCCAAAAAAGGCCCAAAGCCGAACCTGCTGGGGATGAACGCCCCCCCAAAAAGTCTCGCCATGGGGAAGGATCCTCCAAGGCCGTGGTGGTCCTTGATGGGTCTGATAATGAGGCCGCCTCTCCTCCTAAGCCGCCCCCAAAACTCTGTTGGGCAAGGGTTCGAGCGATCCTCCTCCGTCCGGTTCAGAGGATTCGTTTTCTGATATCATTGAGTTCTCCGGGTTGGCCCCCCGTGCGGAGTCGAAAAGGTTGTTTGGGCAGACGGCCTCTTCCATTTGGTGCTCTTTGGGGTTGAAACTCCCTCGAGATTTTGCTGCTCGTGACAGCGCGATGGATCTTCATGAGTGCGGCCTTAGCACACTCAACAAGGCTGCCATTTATTTCTGCAAGGCGCAGTTTGCCTACGAAGCTCAGGAGCGTTCTTCCACCCAGGTGCGTTGTGAAGCCGATGATTTGGTGAAGAAGGCCAAAGAGCGTCTGCACCAGATGCAGCAGGATTTGAACGCTGCCATTGGGCTCGCTAAGGGAAACACGTCTCTTCAGGAGACGGTGAGGAAACAAGCCGAGGAACTGCAGCTGCTTCGTGCCAAAATGGCCGCTGTGGAGAAGTCCGACGTGCAGCTTCGCCAGGTTGGTATGGATGGGGCCGTTCCTATTTTTGAGGCTAATGTTTCCAAGATCAAGGAGGCCGGCTCTATTGAGTTCCAGAAGTCCCGTGCCTATGTTGATGTCGTGAATGTCCGTGTGAAGGAGCGTCTTGCCCAGAGCTTCGGGGAGTTCCTGGCTAAGAGCTCTGACGCGCTGAAGGATGGAATTGAGTTGGTATCGGGGACCTCCGCTGGCCAAGAGTTCCTTGCAGAGCTTGCTGATGATGCCTTTGCTAAAGGGATGATCGACCTCTTGGCCGGAAACCTCCCGGCTCTCCAGCGTTATCTCCCCACCCCGTTTGATCCTGAGGCCACTGGCTTCAATGCTTCGTTTGTTGAAGCTTATGGGGAGGCTTTGAAGGGAAAGTGCCAGGTGAAGGACGCCCCCCTGGATGGGTGAGTTTGTCAAATTCTGCTTGCCATCCGTACCTCCTGGCTAGCCGGCCATTCTTCCCGAAGTGGCTAATGTTTTTAAGATGGCTTACTTCAGCCCTCACACCTCTGGGTTCATAAAAAGCTCTTCCAGTCACATCTATATTCAAGGATAGCTCCCCGAGGCGTGACGGTTCCGGTTATTTTGTACTCTTGATTTCACTCCGAACTCGTGTTTGTTGTACCTTCCGGCCGGTAGAGCCGATGAATAAAGTGTATTACTTGCTTGCCGCGATTGTCTTTAAATTTGTCGTCCATTTGTCTTTCAGCTTATTCTATCCCCTTTGGAGATTCCTCGGTGCCTCTCTTCATATATTTTTTGGAGAGGTCTTTGGCTTTGCTCCGTCGTCCGTTCGTCTTACCTGCCCATTTGGCCCGGTCCTGTGGATCCTGAGCTGGGCTCGGCCGCAATTGTGACGTGGAGTGGGTTTATCCCCTTTGGGGATTCCCCGGTCTTCGTCCCGTCATCCGTTCGTCTTACCTGCCCATTTGGCCCGGTCCTTGGGATCCTGAGCTGGGCTCGGCCGCGATTGTGATGCGGAACGGGTTTATCCCCTTTGGGGATTCCCCAGTGCCTCTCTCTATTTTTTTGGAGAGGTCTTTGGCTTTGCTCCGTCGTCCGTTCATCTTACCTGCCCATTTGACCCGGTCCTGTGGATCCTGAGCTGGGCTCGGCCGCGATTGTGATGCGGAGCGGGTTTATCCCCTTTGGGGAGTCCCCGGTCTTCGTCCCGTCATCCGTTCGTCTTACCTGCCCATTTGGCCCGGTCCTTGGGATCCTGAGCTGGGCTCGGCCGCGATTGTGATGCGGAACGGGTTTATCCCCTTTGGGGATTCCTCGGTGCCTCTCTCTATTTTTTTTGGAGAGGTCTTTGGCTTTGCTCCGTCATCCGTTCGTCTTACCTGCCCATTTGGCCCGGTCCTGTGGATCCTGAGTTGGGCTCGGCCGTGATTGTGACGCGAAGCGGGTTTATCCCCTTTGGGGATTCCCCGATCTTCGTCCCGTCATCCGTTCGTCTTACCTGCCCATTTGGCTCGGTCCTTGGGATCCTGAGCTAGGCTCGGCCGCGATTGTGATGCAGAGCGGGTTTATCCCCTTTGGGGATTCCCCAGTGCCTCTCTCTATTTTTTTTGGAGAGGTCTTTGGCTTTGCTCCGTCGTCCGTTCGTCTTACCTGCCCATTTGGCCCGGTCCTGTGGATCCTGAGCTGGGCTCGGCCGTAATTGTGACGCGGAGCGGGTTTATCCCCTTTGGGGATTCCCCGGTCTTCGTCCCGTCATCCGTTTGTCTTACCTGCCCATTTGGCCCGGTCTTTGGGATCCTGAGGCCTGGCCATGTCGGGCTACGTACGTCTCCTGGAACTTTGGTCTTGAGGCCTGACTATGCTGGGCCACGCGCGTCCCCTGGCTCTTGGGCTCTAGGGGTTGATGGACCGGCCCTGGTAGACCATTAACCCAACAATATATATATATATATATATATATATATATATAATAGCTAAATCCATATAAATTCATGAAATCGATTATGTATGAACTAAAATTAGAACAATACCTTGAGAATTCATTTGCATTAACACTTTAAGAAGACCCGGAATCCAACACGATTGATCGGCCTAACCTTCCAGTGCTATGTACCGTATGAGATGTTGTTCTAGTCCTACCTATTGATGGGATATATGTAGGACTAGAGTAAGTTGTAACGGTTTGGCCTTATTAGTTTATAATTATTCCTTCATCATTAATTACTACAATAATGATATTAAGTAGAATAATTTATTAGACCATTTTCCGTTACCATGTCGTTACAATTATCTCTTTATTTACATGCACCGGGGGTCATTACCATTGTATCACTTTAGTGTAATATATTTAATTTGACCCGTCACCAAAAAATATATATTATCCTGGTATCTACACTTTTATTATTTCATAAATAGCCACTGTATTATTTATTTGATGGTAAACACATTTTAATAATTACATATTAGGCCCCTTTTATTGTTTTCCAACATTTTATGTGTTTTCTTCTTTCTTCTTGTTACCTTAGTTTCACCATCAATATATTTTTTCTCCTTTCTGCATTGTTGTATTTTTCTAGGCAAGTCAACTTATTAATTTTATCAACTATGGGAAAACCCTGTGTGTAAGAAAGATTAGGGGAAAAATAAAATTGAAAGAAAAATAAACATTCGGGAATATGTTAGAATGAAAAAATTGCATTTCCCAAATGTTTAATTTTTATTCACGTTTCCCAAATATTTTATTTTTTCTTTAATGTTTTTCTCTCTAATCTTTTTATCATATACAATTTTTCTCACAATTGATGGAATTAATAGGTGAATTTACTTTAAAAAATGATAATGAAGAAAGGAGAGATAATATATTGATGGTTTAATTAAGATAACAAGAAGAAAGAAAAGAAGAAACATTAAACAAAGTAACAAGAAGAAAAAAGGGTAAAAGTGAAAATAAAAAGAAATATAACAAAACGTAGGGTGGGAAAAACATCTTTAGTAAAAAGAGGACGACTAAGAAGCGAAACATAAAAGGGGAAATGAAATAAAAAAAATGGGAAGAAAAAGAAAATGACATAAAAATGTATTTGGGAAGGAAATTTCACAAAAAAATCTCTCCTAATAGAATGATAAATACAATAATAAATTTGGAAAAGAAATAAGAACAAAGGGATGGAAAAAGAAATTAAAAAAGTGTATGTGGATAAAATAAAGAAAGAAAAATTTTAGGGAGAAAAAGAAAAAATGAAACATGAGATTATTTATGAGCATATTTGTGATAGATGGGATTATTTATTTAAGTTTTCCAAAAAATGCAAAAAACATGGTATAGTAGCTCAGCAACAGACCATGGTCCAACGAAAGAAGATGAGATGCAAAGTGGGATTATTATGAGGTTACATAAAGATGAGATTATTACGAGAAGATCAGTCAGCGGTTGAATTATTCTTGTCAAGTTTTTCTTAAAGTAATGAATTTATGGTTCATGAAGATCAAGTTTTTTCTTAGTATTATGAAGACTTAAAGATTGTGTTGGAAACATGGTATATGATACATTATTAATGTACATGAATTGTGAATGAAGCATGAATATATTAGGAATATTTTAATGCATTGCAAAGAATAAGTTTTATGTTTGCGTAATATTGATGTACAAAAACTAAAGTAAGATATTAAGATGTATGATAAAGCAAAATTCATAATTAAAGAGTGACAAAACATAACAAATACTCCGTACTTAACAAACTTGCAATCACAAACACTCCTTAAATTATTTTGGTTAGTTTTTAACTCATAATTAAGGTGACAAAGCAACATACATAATTCTATCAACATACTACGTACAAAAAAAGTATAGGTATTCAATATTTCAGTTAATCAAAATCACAAATCACAATTTCAGTATATCAAGATTATTGGTACTAGGTATTGTTTAATACTTTAATTTATAGTAATACGGAGTACAATATTATACCCTAGGCACTACTGCACAGTGCTCTTTTGCATATAAACTGCTGAGATTAATTAATGTTAAATGCTATCGACTTTTCTTAAATACTTTAAGAGTAACATTTCAAAAAAAATCTTTTATTTTTCAAAAGAACTCTTAAAAATTGGCATGTCAAATATTAAAAATTTATTAATATAGAACTATTATTCCTTAAGAAAAAAAATAATAATTTAATAAAAAGTGATTTAAATTTGGTTTTAATTGGAACTTGAGTCCAAAAATGTAATCTCAAAATCAACTAATGAAATTGTTCAAAGACCTCAAGCAGGTCGAGTATGCAGTTACATTGCCACGCTCTGCCGATTGGAATTGCTGAAGGCCAGGGAGCAGGGGATTGCGATTTGCAAAGGGGGCTGAAGTTGGAGCATTCTCCTGAATTCCTGAAGCTGAAGCTATTTCGTTGGTCAGGTCGATGGTTCGGTAGCTTGTTGGTTTAATTTTTTTATTTCTTCTGATCTTAACGTTTCACTCAAGGACATATTGAGCTCATCAAAGGAAATCTAAACCAGCCTCGAGACAGTCGCCTTTTTTTCTCCGATGGTAAGATTCATGTATCACTATGAATAGATAATACATCTATTCATGTATGGGCTACCTGGGTAAAATGAAGCGCCTGCTGAAACTAATAGGTTTGGGTTGTCTGATGTTTGAGGTTTGAGTTGAAGCAGCTTATTATACACTGAGCAGGATCTAATTTTTGCCCTTGTTAATGCGTTATTTACAGACCGTTTGTTAACTATGAGACTCTTTGAATCAACTGAACTGCTGAAATTGTTATGCTTGAAACAGCTTAATGTGCTGAATCTTCTCAAATATGGAGAAATTATATTTGAAATATATTACTAGTAGAAAAGAAAAAAATATCTGGAAATAAAACTGGATTTTTCTTCACTGAATTCAGCCATAGAACCAAATCAGCTTGCGAAATCAAAAATTGGTTTGAGAAGGTTGAGAAGCTGAATTAAGTGATTACCAAATGGGCCCTTATCCTACATGAATTACTCTTGTAGCACCTTGTAGCACATGGAATGTGTAAAACTCGGCATGCACTGACATTGATCAGTTACAAGGCACACAACACTATCTGATAACAAGTTAGATGTTTGTTACAAATCAATGTAATTGATCAGTTACAATACTCTTCCCTAGTTCCCTGACAAGGTAAAATTTCTAATTTTGGGTTTATACGCTATTGGTGGGTGATTAATTTATGTGATCAATTTGTTAGGCAAACTCATTGCGTTTATATCTTACGTGCATAAGGAACACTCTTGAGGCTGCCATGTGTCTCCAGGTATTTGCGATTTTCTTTCTGGTATTCTACCGATTATCACTTCATTTGCCATCTCATTAGCTACTGACCATCTGACTCTCGTCAAAGCTCTGTCAATTTTAGAACATCTCCAATGCAACAATGTGCATGATGCACATGTGTCATGAGAGAGATAGACATAGAAAAACAAATAATTCACATATCTCTCTATTTCTTTCCACGGTTTTATATGATTTTGGTAACTTTTTCACAACAATGTCAACAACAATGTCTATATCTAGACACCCGTCATGTCATTGTGGACAAAAACTTACCAAAAACATATAAGACCTTTCAAAGGAGGGAGTGGTATTTCTCATTAATATTTATGTGTCTATCTATCTCATGCCATAAGTGCACCGTGCACATTGTGGCATTGGAGATGCTCTTAAGTGTTGACAATTAAGTGTTCAGTGTTAATTGTTGAGCCTGATTACATGGATTTTCCTCAGCCTATTTTTTGCTTTTCATCTAATTGCGAGGCATTTATGTAAATTGTAAATATGCTAATTGAATAATGATACGCACGTGTGTTAGCACTTAAGATTAGGACTCACTTTTCTTAGTATTTGTATGTCTTCCTTGTATGCTTTGTCACGGATTATTCTTTATATTTATAATAATTCTACAGGGTAATATTTATTGATTTCCCCCATTATAATAATGCAGCAGTAATACTTCCCTAATTCGCAGAAAATTCTAACTATAGTGAAATTGTGAAAATACCTGTCTTATTCTTCTGAAGAGACTAATAAGATGAAATGGTTTTTGAACCCCAACTTCAGATTGAAACTCATGTAATGAACTTAATTTTAGTTACAATGAAAAATAAGATCAATCGAAGGGCAATCTTATTAGACTTCATTATAGATGCTAGATGAAATAGGCACAATCTTATTGCTTTCCCTATTTATATTTTTTAACAGTTCATAAGTATGATGTCATACCACAGGCTTGGCCAAAATAACCTTCTAATGCTTGTGCTGATTGCAGAACTTCCCATGTCAAGAAGTTGAAAGACATAACAAACCAGAGGTTGAACTGAAGTATGAATTGTTGTTTCATCATGTATACTTTACATTTGTGTTATCAATCAGGGGTGTACTAATTCATCATACTCAAAGTTTGAATGTGGTCTACTCTGCAGGACCAGCCAAGAACTTCTACTCAATCCTGTAAGAGCTCAGCTAAGTTGTATTTACATTTCTTATCTTGTTCATTTGAATAAGCTTTGTGCATCTGATGTATGCCTCTTCATCTCTTACCGAAATTTGACCTTAAAAACATTGACCTATGAATTTGTGGTTGTGGCTTATTTGACCCCTTGAATGATTTTACCAACATATGTTTTTCCTTGAAAGATTGAATGAATTGGTCTCTCTACCATCTTTCAGGTTTTGATCTGCCGAAATGAGGCTGAAAAATGCTTGATAGAAACGTCTATTAATTCACTGAGGATAAGCCTCAAGGTACTGGTAGCACTGTGTATGTTTTGCTTTCTGTTTCTCTGGACGAATCTTCAATAGTATAGTTACACACTGGTGATCATCTGCTCAATACATATCCTTCTGAATTTAATGTTTTAAAGATGCAAACATAGGTTGTTATTTCAGCTATGCTCTATCAATGAGAGGGCAGAGATGTAAACTTGGCAGTCACAAAAAAGAAAGGGTTAAATTGAAAATGAAGCCTAAAAGCTTTCAATTCCTCTAAAGGTATTATATCCATGTTGTGTATAGGTAAAGCAGTCGGATGAACTTGAAAACATATTAGCGAAAAAGTTCCTCAGGTTTTTGTCAATGAGAGCAGAGGCATTTCAGGTACTTCGGAGAAAGCCAGTACAGGTATGTGTTGCTTCCTTCTCGTGCGCAAAACTTGAATTTCTTCCTCTAGACACATTTAGGATGTTTTTAATTGGACTGAAATTTTTTGGTCTTGTCTGTTTAAGTTTGGTCTGGTAGATGTGTGATCTATTTTCTGTGTGTATTTGACAATTATTGGAGTCTGGTATGATTTGTTTAAGTCTTTATGGTCTGGTATTTTACAAATGATCGGAGTTACTTTCACTACTTCTTTATGCTCTCATTTCAAATGGTTCATAAAAAATCAGAACATCCACTTGTCATGAAGGGATGTATAATCATAGTGTGCAAGAAGAATAAAAATCCATATTTCGAGGTCTTTCCAACTTTGAGTTCTAAATTAATTAATTGATTTAACAGAATCAGGTCTTTCCAACCTTGACTTCTAAATTAATTAATTTATTTAACAGAATCATCACATATTTTCCATCATTTGCAATGGAGCCAAAGATTCATTATTTTTTGGCTTGAGATTATGATGGAATAAAGCAAAATGGCTCACTAAACTGTCTGAGCTTTTTTGTTATGAAGCAGCAGTCAGTCCATGCAATTTTGGACGGGATTTTCATTATGGGTCATCCGGAAACGGTCTCTCTGTGCTTTAGTACAGGGGTAAGACTGCATACATCCGACCCCCCTTACCCCACCGTAGGTGGGAGCCTTTGCGGCACTGGGGTAAATGAAAATGATGATGAAAGTGAACAGAATCATCACATCCTGAACATCTGGGGTGCTTGATGCATTTTGGGTCAGTACACAACCACACAATTATAGGGAAACAAAATAAGAAAGAAAATAGAGTTGAGATTTGGAAGAAAAGAAAATTAGGAGGAAATAAAAATTTGGTTCAAACTTGATAAATCAAATTTAGATGATCGTTGATGTTACTTTATTTGCATATTTTCATTATATAAACACTAGGAAATCTAACTGTGTAAAATCCTAATAATTTTTAATCAAATCTGATTTTTTTTTTCATATTTTCCAAGGTAAAACCAAACATGAATGAACGACTTTCCTTAGCATTTCCCCATTTCCCTTCCATTTTCCCTGACTACATACATAGCCTTTATGGAGATGTTAAATGTTTCTCTAGTTGCTGATGTCCATCATTGCTTTCATATCTAGTAGTCCTGAGTCTAGATAACTTTGCTGCTTTGCTATTTTCAGTTTGACATAATTTTATTTGATAGCAGTTCCTGATTCGTCGTAATCTGGCATACATAACCTTTCAGGGCTACGACATTAGTTTCCTCATAACTAATTACCATTGTGAGGAAATGCAGAAGCAGAAACTAATCGATTTTATAGTACAGTTCATGGAGGTAAGACAACTATGCTTATATACATTTGAGGAAAGAGAGTTTTTCATTTAACATGATATCTAGTGCTGAATTTGAACAAATGGCCAATAATTGCAAACAGTTGGCACAGGCTTGACCTTTTGAGGTGTACCAACAAAAAATGGATGCATAACTCCGGTGTATGGAAGATTTATGTCTAGTTAGCTTCGGGTGTAACTAGTAACTTAGATGTATGGAAGATTTATATGTCTAGTAACTAGAATGCTACTACTTCCTTTACCGAAAAGGGGTCATCTTTTACTACATCCGGGTTATTGTATTTTTCCTTTCCCACGTGTTTGGTTAGAGGGGAATGAAGGGGATGGATACTATTACACCTTCTCCGCTCCCTTCGGGTGATCAAAACACACCGTTAAGGTTGAAACACATGGATTCAGAATGTAGTAAAAATAGTTATATTTTATTTTTATTTTTATTTGGTGAAGTATAAGTGAGCAATTCTATTTTATTTTAACTTTTCAGGATTTTTTTGGGTAATCAAAATGACGTCAATGAAAAACTCCATTTGTTTCTTAGAAGAATGTTTTTTATTCTTTTGTACTGTGTATTTGAAATAGAGCTTTTTGTCGATAATTATTCCGTATAAACTAACTGTTATTCTTTGAAATTGACAGGACATCGACAAGGAGATTAGTGAACTCAAATTGTCAGTTAACACCCGAGGAAGGCTTGTGGCTACTGAGTTTCTGAAGCAATTTGTCTGATATTTCATTAATGCATAACGCATAGCAGTCTCATCGTTTTTCTCCTTTTTAACGCTTCCTATCTGCATATCTAAAGACACATTCTCTCCTCACCCTGAATTCATAAGTGAGGTTACCAGATTACAGGTTCCCATCTTTTTTTTTTAAATTCTATGTATATATAGTTTGCCCTCGAAAGTTTTTGCATAAGCCTCAGTTTGGATTTATGCTATGTATGAGTATAAGACTATAAGTGAAATTACCAGATCCTCATTTTACCAGCTTATAAATCGTCAACTTAATGTATGCTGAGTTTGTTAACACTTAACAATGCCGAGTCTTTTTGTTGTAAATACGTCTGCAGTTCGAGTGAGAAACTAGAAAAATAATGTATTAAACTGGGAGTCAAAATTCGAAACCCTACGGAGTATAAACTAACTCTCAATCTGTAAAGTGTAAATGGAGCTTTAATTTTATGAATACATAAAACATTCCAACACAGACACAAGGTCCCACACACTCATGAAAAATAGGGGACGCGCACGGGATTTATCTTCAGTACATGAGTATTTGACCTTTGTCTCCTCCACAATGTAGTCTTTTTGACTATTTGGAATGAATGCATTTGAGGAGAACTTGTCTGTGGCACCGCGGAACATAATGATGGTTGACTTGTGAGAGTAGCTGACCATTTGAGTTGTGGAGATAGTAGAGAGAGTGTTGGAGGAGAGGAGTGTCCCAGAATTATTTTTTTTATAGTTAATAGCATGTGGACCACTCTCTCCCTCATGACGATCCGATAATCGGGGCGTCATGCCTTTATTCTTTTATTATGCGGAAATAAAACATGAAAAACAAGCAGAATGTAAAGAGGATAACGTATCCCCCGGGGTCGTGTAGACGCCCGTTATCATCACTATAGAGTTAACTCTGATGTGATGGCCTAGGAGTGGACTCGGGCCGGTTCGGGCCCGGCCGGGCCTCGGTTCAAGAAGGGGAGGCCCGGAACCGGCCCGGGTAACCCCCGGGTCCGGGCCGGGCCGGGCCTCGGGTATATTTTTTTTTTGGGCTTTTCCTAGTTAACCCCCACCCCTCCCCCTCACCCCCAAACCAACCCTAACCACCTCAAATGGCCCAAAATAACCAGCCCAACCCAAAAACTCAAAAAAATCAAAAAAAAAATTAAAATTGGCCCGGCCGGTTCACCTTTTGAAGGGCCCGAGCCCGAACCGAGAATCCACCGGGCCGGGTGGCCCGAACCGCCCAACGAACCGGTTCCCGGGCCGGTCCGGGCCCGCACAGTGGCAGGCCGGTCCGGTTCCGGGCCGGTTGGCCCGGCCCGAGTCCACCCCTATGATGGCCTGAAAATGATGGCGATTCTTATGTTGCATCAGCATGACTTCCTTCCAATCATTTGTCTACATCTGTAATAGATGAGCCCTATGGAAGTTCTCGCGGGTCTTGAAGACCTGCAACTGACTCAAAAAGTGTGTCTGTGTCCTAGAAAATTTCAAAACATTTTGGGAGTGAGTAACTAGACACGACGTGATCAATGAAAGTTCAGTGGCATGGGGTTGAAGCCACTCTAGTCAGTATCACTTGCCTCAGAAGGAGACAGTAATAAGAGACACGGTTCCCCGTGAAATATGATTAAACACCTGTCTGTTGGGAGACACGTGAGTGGTCTTGGGTAGAGTTAAGCATGCACTGTTGGACAAGATGCAGTGACTTCTACCCGGAATCTGATTAAATCAGTCCTAAACCTATGGGGATTGTCCAGAGTATTTGAGTGGCTAGGAGTAAATGTTCAATTCATAGCAGGCAGTTGAGGTAACAAACTCATCATTGATTGTTGTATTCTTGCTCACTTGAGCCTTCTGTTTCCTAACGCTCATAATGTTCACTCACTCACTTACGCTCGGCTTTGTCCCTTGGATAGGCTTAGTTGGGTTTACTAAGCCATAGGGACATGTTCTCTCATTACATTCTTCATTTTCTCTCTGTACTCCCCCTCAACTAGAGCACTCGGTATGCTATGTCATTGTTAGACACCGGGGAGGATAACATTGAACACTCCCCCTAAAATGTTGCATCCGTTGAGAGAGATTCCTTGCATTGATTGCTCACAGCTCGTCATACCCGTCATGTGTGTGGAGCAATCTGAACAGGTACCACACATGACGGTTTTCCCTTAGCTCATCATGTAGAATTTCAGCATATTGAGGATCACATAATGTTGATGAGTTAGAGGAGACTTCAGCAGTTGATTGTTGATTGTTGACCGTTGACGCGAGGTTGATTGAATATCTACGATTTTCAGACCTTTACAATGCAGCTTAGACCTTAGGTTTGACTTTGAAAGAATTTGATCAGATTTGCCTAAGTTTTGACATGGACATCGGTGATTTACAAAGTTTGTCGAAAAACTAACGTTTTGACCCTCAAGGACTGCGAGTGAGGGCGCGTGAGAAAGGGTTCTGGGGCATAGCCCGAGAATTAATGTAGATCTTTTCGTTAACTTTCCAACAAAAAAAAGTTTGCTAAAATCGGATCACCGAGTCAAAAGTTATGGCTAAAACAGTGCGGTGTCGCAGAAAATCTCTAATTTTGAGTTTTTGAGGAAATTCTTCGAAGTTGAGGTTCTCGCTGTTGCATTTCGAAAGCAGGTGAACTCAAACAAAATTCTAAGGCAAAAACTCGAAGTCCTGATCTCGAGATTTTAATTTCGAGTTTGTCTTGAAGAGTAATCCATCTACAAAACAGACATCAGAATAACGAAATCTTCAGAATTTCAAAATGTTTGGAACATCAAAAACTTTGGAGTTTCGAAAACCTCATAATATCGAAAACTTGCTGTTTGAAAAACATCAGAACATCGAAAACTTCTAAAAACTTTTATAAGCAGGGAATCATTCAGAAATCTTATAATGTAAAGCTTCGATGAACTGCGAAGGATGTCAAAATTCTAATTATGAGTTCCCAGAAACGGTAAACTTTGAAAGATTCAAAACATCGAAAAAATTCCGAAAATTCTGAAATTTTTCAGAATATCGAAATCCTAAACATCGAGTTCCTAAAACTCTAAATTCCAAAACTCTCAAATTTTAAAACTCGAGGTTTAAAACTCGAGGTCAGAACTCGAGGTCAGAACTCAGGGTTTAAACTCAAGTCAGAACTCGAGGTTTAAAACTCGAGTTGAAAACCGCGAGTTTACAACTCGAGTTCATGACTGCGAGTTTAAAACTCTCAATTTTAAAAATGTCGAATTTTGAGAATCTAAAAACTGTTCTGAATAGCCCTGAAGGTCGCGATCCCTCCTGTATCTGTTTCAAGTCAAAATCGTTTCTGCAGCAGTGTATAATCATAAACTCGAAATACCATGAGAGTTCTACAAAAATTTAAAGTTTGCAGAAAACGAAAAAGGGGATATGCTGCTGGATCGGTTTTGAAAGGCGATTCCAACAGTATAATTTTTACAGATTTTCGTTCACAAACAAGATAACATGAGCAAAACTCTATATGAACAAAAAGAGAAGAAAAGCAGAGCAGTTGTTCGTAAGATACGAAAAATCGCAGATACATTCAACCTGGTTCACGCCTCAGCTCTGATAGTCCCAGAACTTAAAACAATCAAACAATCATAGCAGTGAAAGAAGAAACAGATAGAAAGATATGGAGAAGATGAACCGAATCTGGTATACCGTATGAATTGACCGCTGTTCTCCCTGCAGAAGTAGAGCAGCGGCAACCCTAATCTTTCTATCTCTACGCCTCTATTCTCTAAAGCCTCGATCGTTCGTTAGGGTTCCCGTAAGTTAGCCTCCTTTTATAGGAGAAGTTGGCTAACTTACGGGTTACAAGGAAGTTAACGGGCTGATACACATTTGTGGCCCGTATTACACTTTTAAATAATAATTACACAAATACAAAGATATTTAATTAGATTGGACACCATAAAATATTCCTAAGAATCTCCCCCTTGGTGTTCAATCGTGTTGAATCAGCATTGCAGCGCAGATATCTTTGTCTTTGTTGTTATTCAGCTTCCTTTGTCTCTGATACCAATTGATAGTCCCTAAATACTAAAGAATCAAACAACCATAGCAGTTATGAAGAAGCAGATAGAAGATTATTAGATGAAAAACCGAATCTGGTAAACCGTGTAAACTGACCGCTGCTCTCCCTGGAGAAGGAGAGCAGCGGCAACCCTAATCTCTCTATCTCTATGCCTCTGTTCTCTGAAAACCTCGAACGTTAGTTAGGGTTCCCGTGAGTTAGCCTCCTTTTATAGGAGAAGTTGGCTAACTTACGGGTTACAAGGAAGCTAAGGGGCTGATACACATTTATGGCCCGTATTACACGTTTAAATAATAACTACACAAATACAAAGATATTTAATTAGATTGGACACCATAAAATATTCCTAACACAATCCGCAATAAGCAAACAAATCCTTAAATGTCTTGTTTCAAATTTTGTGGAGCTTTTTGTATAAGAGACTTTTGCCATTTTTCATCTTAAAAGTAATTCTATAGCAGTCAGATGAGCTAAAGGTTAATTTAGTCAGTTCACTGACCTTTTAGTCCTATAATTTATCCCGGTCCTATTTATACACTTACCCATGTTTTATCCATATGGTAAATATCTCTAGTGTAACCAGTTTGAACCTGAAGTATATGGAGGAATTACTCCGGCGTAGTTTCTAGCACTGATAAATACTACTTCCTCCGTCCCACCCGTCCCAAAATGATGGTCCTGTATTTCCTTTTTGTGATGTCCCAAAATGATGGTCCTGTTTCCTTTTTTTGGAAAGAGAGACGTGGTCCATATCATTTCACTTTATTATATTCAAATCTCAACCACACCTTTTACCTTTTCAACCACTTTATTAAAAGTTGTGCCCAAAAGAAATGAAACTATCAAATAGGGACGGAGGGAGTAGTATATTTTTATAAAGAGCAGAAGGGAGCATATGTACCCGGATTAGATTCCCAAATAGGTCTGTATTTTCTGGTCAAAAGATAATACAATTTGGATGTTGAATTGTGGCTTCACAAGTAGCAGATCTTTTGGCTGCAACACATATTTATTTAAAACTTCTTAGCTCAATGGCTTACTACTACCTAGAAGTTAGAACAAAATTACAGTGACAAAACTGCAAGATTATGATCTTTCCAAAATAATAAGGTGAATCAGAGGAAACCTCAGGAAGCCTGTCATCACAGTAATCAATACGAGAAGGTCTAATTTGGCACCACCATTAGCCCAGGCATCTGATATAGCTTCATCAAATCAGGAACTTTGTTCTCATAGCATTTCACATAATTTATTAGAAACTTCTCTTCAGGCGCTTTCAACATCCTAACAAGCAGCTTTAGTTCCTTCCTAAGTAAACCTTTGGCAGTCAATGTCTGATAAACAAGAGATCTAGGAATGATTCTCTTCTCCAAACTGAGCATTATAATCACAGGGTTACTCAAGATATCAGCAGGATTTAAACCCATTTTGTTGACGAAAAAATCCATTCCCAGTAGAATCTTTTCTTCAGAGCATGCCATAATCCAAGGGTTCTTCCCAAAAGATTCACTAATCTGGTCTTCTGAAAGTCCCCACTTCATATAAGCATGTATCTTCTTATCCCAAGTTAATTTACTCATGGAACAAAACACATGAACTGCAACCATAAATGTTCTTTTGGATGAATTAAACCCCATTCCCTTGATTTTTTCCAGAATCGTTGTAAACTTTTCCTTATCCTTGATGAACAACCTAGGCTGGTTTTGGAAGCAATACAAAATGCTCGATTCTGGAACTGTCATTTCCCTCAGAAGTTGAATATTGGCTTCCACCGTAGCCTTGCATGATTCTGAAAAACACCAAGGAGTCCGCTTCAAGCAAACTATTATCTTTTCTGGACTATCAAGAAACTTTTTGAGGAAAGCTAATGCCGGGAAGAGTTGATTCTTCAAACTTCTCTTGAAAATACTAGGGCATTCACACAGTACAGTAGTGTAGTCATCCTTAGTAAATCCTACGGACTTGAAATGCTCGATCTTGGGCAAAAGGGTATTTTGAGGATTACACAACAGGACTGGAGGGCACTTTCGGATAAGTTTTGAGATCTGACTTTCTGTAAATCCATGGGTTTTCAAGAACGAAAGCACAGATTCTGGTTTATCCGGGGATTCGAACTTCATATAATTGGAAGCTGAGAGAGCCTTTTCTGGAGCAAAACCACATCTATCTACAAGATAAGATGCCACAAATGAAGCTTTCTTCTTCGCTAGGCCCAAGGATTCATCTCCAGCTTTTGTTTGATACAACTTAAAAACAGTGAGAGAAGATCTAGCGGAGGACCTGACATGCGGAAATGTCTTGAAAACGAAATTGAACATTTGATTTATACTGGTTAGATCGATTCAAAATCAAAGGCTCGACGGAGAAAGTAAATGAACAAATTAGATTTTGAAGAGAGGCGGCAGCGGATGGATCTTCTACTCTTCGCTACTGATAAGTGGTCACGAATAAAAACAAATCCCTTTTATTTATAGGTCTTTTTTTAGACCGAGTGAGAATAACCCATTAATAAGAAAGAGACCCGGAATAGTAACGGGTCAGAGGTCAACCTGGATTTGGAAGGCGAGTCCGGTAAATGATACTTCATCCGTTCTTTTTTGTTGCAACAGTCAACTTTGCACATTTATTAACGCACGTCTTTGACCGTTAATAAATCTTATCCTCTATTAGTAGAAAAAATTAAAAAATAGATTTTGAAAATTTGTAATGAGATGAATTGAACAATTTTTTTAAAAAAATAATTTTTATAAATTAATAAATAAAATGTAGTCAAAGCAGAACATGTGAATAGTTTAAAATTCAACATGTTGCAACTAAAAAAGAACGGAGGATAGTACTACGTATGGTCTAGTCTTGATGTGGTGTTGTCTAAATTGATTTGCCCTAGTGTTTTCTAATTACTTTAAATCTTTTCTACTCGGTTTTGATCTATCAGGTGGGTGTTGTCACGAGTCTCCCAAATTTCGCTGATGCCGCGGTATTGGAGACATTCCAGTACGCCGCGACATAGTCCGGACCGAGTGCCAAGTCAAGTCTAGAGCTTCTTAACAGAAAAGAGACGGAATTCTAGATGCTAAGAGAACATTCTAGGCTCATGTGCTTAAGTTTAGAGACAAGTATACTTGTATAGAGTATAGTAGAATACTCTAAATATCATAGAGTTGTATAGGATACTCTAGAAATAAATCCTACTCGTTAGATCAAATAGATCTAGACCATTCATTGAGGAGGGGGATAAGTATAAATACCCCTCAAGGTTGACTCATTTGTATCAAGCAGAACTTCGAGAGCAATATAGCCTTTGTACGAGTTTCTCCACATACAATCTTGCTTAGAGCTAAAGTCTAACCATGTCCAAGTATCCTCGTTTCTGCAAGAGTTATGCTAACTAGCATAAGTTTGAGTGAATGTGCTAGTGTCGCACGGGCCTTGAGAATAAGTTAGTGACAGTGTTCACTGGTCTAAAACTCTGCCGAACCAAACTCGAAACGAATTTTCAAAATAATATAAACTGAAAAATTGGACCGGTTATCTATACTTTACCATCATTGACCTGAAAAGTCAAAGATGACAAAGTTTTAAAGAGCGAGGGCAACATTAATTATCTTCATTATCAAGACAATAAGAATAAACGGATGAATATAAAATTAAGATAATGCGTAGTATATATTATAATTATTACTACCTCTGTTATTAAATAAATGCAACGGTCAACATTTCACGTTTGCCAACACAGTACTTTGATCATTAATATATTTAATTCTCTATTATTAAAAAAATTAAAAAAATTGGATTTTGAAAAGTTACGATAAGAGAAATTTAACAATACTTTTTTAAAAATAAATTATTAATACATTAATTAATAAAATGTGGTCAAAGTGGAACATGTGAATAGTGTATAATTCAATATGTTGCATTTTTTTAAGAACGGAGGAAGTATTAAATAGACTGTTATTACTATTAATTTTTATTATTTTATATCTACTTTATATAACAAGTTTTATTTAATATAATTAAAAATATAGTAAAACCGGTTCAATCCAGTTCAAACCCGAAATAATCCGATATTTTCCGGTTATGCACACTCCTACTTGGGCCTACTCTTACTATACTAGTCAGACCGATTCGTTCCAATACTGCATACTCCCTCCGTCCTTTAAAGGTTTGCCATATTTGACCGGCACGTAAAATAATAAAGTAAAAACTGTGTGGTAGAAATTTGTGAAGAAGAGAGAAATAACAGAAGACACAAATTGATTGATTAAAAGTGAAAGTGGCAAAATTTTTGGGACAACCAAAAAAGAAAAGTTGGCAAAGTTATAAGAGACGTAGGAAGTAGTATATAAGTAATGCATGGATTCGAAGCAAACCGTTCCTAAGAAATCACTCCACTAAAAGCTGTTTTGTTTATCACTTCGTAAATTATTTAAGTTATACACTACCAATGAAATAAAATTCATCTTGTTTATCAGAGTATAGAAATTTAAGTTATACTACGAAGTATTCTTTGTACATCACTTCTTATCTTGTAGGTTAACACAACAGGAGTTGACAACGGATTAGAAGCAGTTATGTTGCACCACCAGATTATGCTAATGACCAATATTAGCTGATTGATGATGATAGCTTGTTATATGCTTGGAACAATGTATCAACATTAGTCATCCACTTCTATCGTCACGACAGCCACTGAAGTAGGAACATAAGTAGGCATGGACTGGGCCCGGGCCGGGCTGGTTCAAGCCGGGTTTTTTTCCCCGGATGTTGGGCCCGGAACCGGCCCTGGTTGATACCGGGTCCGCGCCGGGCCGGTCCAATGTATATTTTTTTGCTTTCTAATTAACCCCGACCCCCCACCCCCACCCCTCAAACCTCCTCAAAACACCCAGCCCTACCCAAGGAAATGAAAATAATTGGGAAAAAAAATGAACCGGGCCCAGCCAGGACCGTCTGGGCCGGTTCAAGAAAACTAGGGCCCGAGCCCGGCCTGCCAGGCCCGCCCAACCCAGGCTAAAGCCCGGAACCGGCCATCCGGGCCCACACAGTAGCGGGCCGGTTCGGGCCGGTTCAATCCACCCCTAAACATAAGTGTTTTAAGAAGCGGCTACAACGCCATTGCACCTCAAACTGTTCAACTAATCAACTTGTTCGGGATCACAAGCCCTTGTGAAAGATTTGCTTGCTCTATTTGTTCGACTATTGATTTGGGATCAAAAGCCATACTGAGTGAACACTAGGATAATGATTGTGGTGGATATCACTTAATCCTAGGGCACATCAAGTACACAACTCAAATGATGTCTCTAAAACCAGAACTGTGAGTCAGGTTTGATGGTCAAGTTTCATTCTTGGACAATTTCAAGCAAAGTTTTTTGACAGTACTGAAAGCTAGGGCTAGGGCATATCAAGCAGGCTGGAATCTCCATTGAGAACATATATCTGCAATCCCAACCCAACCACAAAGTAAAAAAATGTGGAAGCAAACATCAGTCACACACTCACACCCATTCCGATCACAATGATCTGATCCCATCAGCAAGCACAAACCGAAACCGAAACCCAAAGTCAATGAAACCCAAGTTACCCAACCACAAAACCCTATCACAAACCCAAAACCAGCGACTCCAAATAAACCCAACCTCAAATCCATCTTAACTCAGGTAATACTAACGCATCCACAAAAACGTGATCTGAAACCTAAAACCTGTGACACCGATCCCAGCCTCAGTGGCCATGGGAAATTTTAGGGAGTCACATATGACTCCACTATGGAGTCATATGTTATGTGTGACATCATTATGAATCCATGGTGGGGTCATAATGAGGGGCTATAATAAGGCCACATATGCGTATATGACTCCATGGTGGGGTCATATGGTTCCTTAAAGTTTTTGCTGATAAAAATGTAATCATTCTTTGTTTAGCCACTTCTTATTAATTAAACTACTGCAATGCTTAAGCATTGTTAGGATGAGAATAATACTTTCATGATTCTGATAAAATAAACAAATCATGAAAGAATGTTCTTCATGCTTACCATTCTAATAACAATTATTAATGCATCCAACTGATCCAAGTACCACATCAATCATTAATAAATGTAATGTTTCTTGAGAAGTACATAGAATAACTATTCTCATCGATGCTTAATCATAGATGTAATAAAGTAGACATTCGGAAGGGACATGTATATGTATCATTAGCTCCTCGTTGAAAAAAATCACAACTCAGAAGACTGTAATCTCAGTAATGATCTTAACCAACGCATAACTAGACATGGCTTTACGAAATAAATTAAGCCAAATAAAAAAAAACTAGTCATGAACAATCACACAATGTCAACTTCAGCATTGCTGCCAGAAGTCTGATATAGTTTCAGCAGGTCAGGTACTTTCCCTTCAAAGCATTTTACAAATTTATTGACAAACCTTTCTTCTGATGCAACTAACATCCTAGTAAGTAGCTTTAGGTCGTTCTTTAACAAACCCTTTCCTGCCAAAGTCTGAAAAACAAAGCATCTAGGAATTATCCTCTTCTTCAAACTGAGCATAACCATCACTGGGTTTCTCAAGATATCAGCAGATTTGAAACCGAAGTTGTTGATAAAAAAGTCCATTCCCTGTAGAATTTTATCCTCAGAACATGCCATAATCCATGGATTCTTCCCGAAAGCTTCAAGAATCTGATCTTCTGAGAGGTCCCATTTCTCAAAAAGATGCATCTTTTTCCCCCATGTCAATTTAGTCATGGAAGAGATCACATGAGCTGCAACCATAAATCTTTTACTCGTTGGGTCGAACCCCATTCCCTTGATTTCCTCTACCATATCTATAAACTCATTCTTGTCCTTGATGAACAACCTGGGCTGGTTTTGCAAATATTGCAAAATATTCGGCTCTGGCACTTCCATTCTCCTCAGAAGTTCAATGTTATCTTCTATCATTGCCCGACATGGTGAGGAAAAAACCCAATCACACCGTGTCATGCAAATTCTTATTTTCTCTGGACACTCAAAAAACTTTTTGAGGAAATCTAGAGCAGGGAAGAGTTGATTCTCCAGGCTTCTCTTGAAAATAATAGGGCCTCCACAAAGAATAGCAGTATAGTCCTCCAGTGTGAAGCCTAATGATTTGAAAAACTCAATCTTGGGCAAAAGGGTGTTCTGGGGATCACACAACAGGATTGGAGGGCATCTCTGGACCACCTTTAAGATCTGGGTTTCTGTGAATCCTTGACTTTTCAGGAATGAAAGCACAGATTCAGGTCTATCCGGGGTTTCAAACTTTATGTAATTTGAAGCTGAGAGAGCCCTAGCTGGAGCAAACCCACATTTATCTACTAGATAAGAAAACGTAAAGGAGTCTTTCTTCTTCGCTCGGTCTAAGGATTTTTCGGATTTCGTTCCATACAACTTTATAATAACAGTAAGCGGAGATGTAGCAGGATATCTCAAACGAGGAAATGTTTTACTAATTAAACTGAACATTTGATTTCTACTAGTTTGTTCGATCCAAAATAAAAAAGAAGACTCACTTGCATAGAGAAATACTCTTTAGATCTTGGAAGCAGAGCCGGAATGCACCGCACCGAACATCCACTATATCGCTGGTGGTAACGAAGATACAAACACGTAGGGATAAGTGGACGTGCAAAGTTTGATGTTTTTAGGCGAGGGTAATTCCTCCCAAACCAGACCATATCATTCAGATCAAACCAGACTTGGATAGTTATAAAAATAAAAAGAAATCAGACCAGACCAGACTGAACCAGTTCAGACCAGACCAGACCAGACCAGTAAATTACAGTCCAAGTAAAAACATCGTTAATAGGGAAAAGTTATGTTTCTACCTCTAGCTTATCTTAAAATTCTAATTTGTATCGTATTATATACTTCCTCCGTTCTTAAATAAATGCAACGGTCAATATTTCACATTTGTCGAGACACAACTTTGACCATTAATATAAATGATTTTGTATTAGTAAAAAAATTAAAAAAATTAGATTTTGAAAATTTACAATGAGACAAGTTTGACAATATTTTATTCATAAAATAATACTCCGTATTATTACATTAATAAATAAAACGTAGTCAAAGTAGAACATGTGAATAGTGTAAAAGTCAAAGTGTTGCATTTATTGAAGAACGGATGTAGTAATTCTTTTGTATGTGCACCCACATGAGGTAAGAGTCAGATTGTTCCTCAAAATTGCTAAAAAAGGGTCAAATAAGTCCATATATATGATTCTGTCTGACTGTCGCCATTCGGGATGGTTCCCGATGGAATTTTTTGATGATTTTTTTGAGTATCTTATTCATTAAGTCTAGGTTACTCATACCCAATTTCAGCTAAAATTTCAATCGGGAAGGCATTCAAATGAAGTATTGAAGATAACTGCGCAGTTAAAAGCGCATTTACCTTCAAGAATTCATTTGAATGCCTTCCTGATTGAAGTTTTAGCTGAAATTTGGAATGAGTAAACTAGTCTTAATGAATAAGATGCTCAAAAAATTTCATCAAAAAATTCCACCGGGAACCTCCCCAAATGTCGACGGCCGGACAGTAAGGACTTATTTGACATTTTTATGCAATTTCGAGCACCAATCTGACTCTTACCTCATAATAAAAGTATAAAACTCACAATAACGTTCAAGTAAATCTCAGGAGCATCTACGGGTATTGAAAATTAATTAATACTTGGACTTTTTAATTAATAATAATAATTCATATGAGGGATTTGATTTTACACCCAACTTTTTGGGTGATATTAGATTTTGCCATTGTGAAAAAAAAATTGATTTTGCACCTTACTTTACTTAAAAATCATTTGCACCCCATTTAGAAATTTTTCTTCATAAAGTGTTGTGTTAGGGTGTAAAATCATTCTTTTTTTCAAAATGGATGCAAAGTCTAATATCATCAAAAAAGTGACGTGCAAAGTCAATTTCCCTCTAAGCTATAATATTGTTGAGCTCATTTAAATGCTATCAGATCAGGTTAAATTTTATTTGACATTCTTTGAATGCTATTGACTGACTTCATATTGTATGAAGCCGCTCATAATTATTGTTGGGCCTTATAAAAAATGATGACATGATCCCTTCAGAAGAAATTTAGTGAGTAAATATAAGATGTAAGTAGAAGATGGATCTGAAAATTTGAATGGATCAAATGACCGGGAAATTATCGAAAATGACCCGGAAAATTACATGAATATCATTTACTTGTCATTTTCTCATCCTCTTTCTCAAGATTTTCCCATCCATCTTCTACTTGCATCTTATCATTTGCTTCCTTTTGTTTTCTTATTTCTCTCTCTCTTGTTCTCTGTATTTTTGGTTGTCCAAAAATGACTATTCTTATTTTTCTTTCTTTCCTCTGCACAAACTTCAACCACACTTACTATTCTTATTTATTACCTTATTCAAAGAGTGCAAAGTTTATTGAGACGGAGGTACTCTTATAATTTCATATATTAAAGTTCATTTTTTACTATTCAATATGAGTTAATGAATTCTTTAGTCAAACAGTCATCTAATATTGATCCCATTAGAGTTAAAGAAAGTATTTTGGTTTTGTTTCCAAGAAAAGAAGAGTGGAAGGAATGATAAAGCACAAGAAAAACAAAGGTAAAATGAAAGACATAAACAAAAAAGAACTAGCGGGATTGATAGAAAATGTAAAAAGAGAATGAAAGAAAAAGAAAAGGAAATGAAATAAAAAGGAAAAAGAAAAATGTTTTTGACCTGCTATTGCAGTTGCTTCAAGGTCATTAGATCTGCTTGATTGCTTCTCAGTAATACATGTATCTATATGATAATTTTTTAGTAGATGTACTCTTAATTGATTATTTTTCAATAGTGCAAGGTCTTATTTGACTTTTTTTCCTTAATTAAATTATAAATTAAATCCTTAAAAGAACGGATCGTTCCTATTAATTTCTCTATTATGAGTACAATATTAAATGATGGCCCAATATATAAGAGTCATAGTCCAAATACATTGCACAAATGCTGATTTTTCTAGCTATGGAAATAAGAGTAAACGAGGCTCAAAGCCCATTTCCTCTAAGGCCCTAGAGATATGGACGAATTTTTGAAACCCTAAAATGTATCTCATCCCATTCACAGTGACAACAGTGACAATGACCAATTCCGAACAATGACCAACCCGACCAGTGACCATGACCAACACGTCCAATTACCATGACCAATTCGACCAGTGACCAATCCGACCATGACCAATTCAACCATGATCGATTCGACCATGACCAATCTGATCATGACCAATCCGATCAATGACCAATTCAAGCAATGACCAACCCGACCAGTGACCATGATGTCGTTGTTGCGCGCACAAGAGATGCTTGAAGAAGAACATGAGAGATGGTTTCGCGTGGATGCTCGTCGATCTGGGACATGGTCTCTTTTTTGTCCAATTGAAAATGTGTCTTATTTTTGTCCACTTAGAAGTCCATGGTCTTATTTTAGTCTTTATTTCTTATTATTAATCATAATTGTCCTTCCAGAGAAGATCTTGGATACAAACAAGTGGTACATCAAACCAAACACAACTTGGCTCTGAAATAGCTTGCTTAGCCAGGACCATCAGCAATCCTATTCGCTGATCGTCGTACATACTGGACAAAAATTTCAACAATCAATGTTATCATGTTTCTAATATCATCCGCTTAAACCACTTCATAAGAGTTCCCTCCAAACCCTTCACACCTTGAAGGGCTACTTGTGCATCTCTTTCTATAATCACACATTGTCATCCCTTATTCGTTGCCCACTGATGATTTCTAACAACCATTCCAATTCCCCTCCTTGTGCTTGGAGACACATACTCGGTTGTTGTTGCTTGGAGACATCCCACATAGCTCTTTTGCATGCCTGCTACATATCTTCACCGATCATTTCTAACAACCATTCCAATTCCCCTCCTTGTGCCATCCAGAGCCAACGCGTCGTCCACATTTATTTTAATAAAACCCTAACGCTTTCTACACCCCTCCAATCTACTTTCTATTTTTGCCAAACTTTATCATTTCTTGCTTTCCAAAGACTCCAACATAACACAACATTACAAAAATACACGCTTTCTCCTTTGAGAAGCTACCCAACAATCTGTTTGCCCACTCTAATTAAATACTTAAAATTTGTTTCACAGTATATTCCCAAATAGATTAGTTTTCGCGCAAAAGTACACGGACAAACACAAGCTAATGACTGGGGTGCAAACAAATGTTTGCTTGTGCAAAGATATTAATTGTATGCGCTAACAAAATATGAGGGTTTGAGATAGATTTTTCTCACACAAATAAAAGTTATCTATGTGCATTTAAATCAATGTTTGTTATTGACAATAATTATCTACATGAAGAAACATTAACTTTCAGATAACATTTTCTCACACAAACAATAATTGATATGCAAACCATTAATCTAATTGTGACAAATTTTACATGTGATTTGAAAATAATCGAAAATTAATTAAAAAATTGATGGAAAGAGGCAATATAGGAGAATTGTCTCAGAAGGAACACATTACTTGTATAGAAAATATAGGACTTATTTTTAAGGGTCAATATTTGCTCTCTTTCAGTCTTTTTGGAACTCAGAAGGAACACATTACTTGTATAATTGTACTCGTTAGAACGTCAATTTCAAATTATTTAAAAATAAGAAATTGGTCCCTATGATATCTAAGGGGCTTATTGATTTCCTTAGGGCCTTTCATTTAATCTTTTGATTTAATAAGTGCAAACCCCTTTTAGAATAGACTACATAAAAGGCGTGCATAATTGGTATACATATTGCGCCTTTTATTAATTATAATTGTTGAACAGGTATGACACATTGTCAATATATTTTTTCTTGTACAGTCATGTGTTTTAACTTTTCTATTAAAAACTATTATATGAATTTGAAAATGTGTTTTGATTGTTTTTATAGTTTTACTAACTTGTTATGTTACATTATTTTTTATTTTTTTATTTTTTTATTTTTATAGAATAGGCTCATGATAGACTATTGCCCCTAGGCCTTCCGATAGAGAGGATAGGCCCTGCGTAGTATCCCAAATAAGGAGTATAATACTATGTAGTTCATATATCATGACCTTATAGTATTTTGAAAAGATCATAAAAAACTCTTCGAATTCAAGTTTTCATAATAATGCGTAAGCCAACCATTTGGTCGCTTTGAAAACTAGTTTCTGTCGATGAAATGGTAACGGCTATGGTTAGCAAGTATAGAATGGTAAAAAACTTATAGGTGTTATACTTCCTCCGTCCCGAAATAAATGTCATGTTTTCCTTTTCGGTCCGTCCCAAGATAATTGTCTTGTTTCCTCTTTTGGCAATAATGAGTGACTCGTATCAATTCACCTTTTTCTACTCAAATCTCAACCACAACTTTTACCTTTTCAACCACAATAAATTGAGAGCTTGATCATTCTAATTCAATGAACTTTTTTGTATAGAAAACATAAACAATAACGGTAACAGAGTAGGCGAGTAGTCACTTACCCGTAGAAAGTGATACAGTATTGTGCAGAAATGCAGAATCCATGCTCCTCATGCTAGATTACTCAAGGACCTTGAAGGGGTTGGTGATTGTGAATTTTGTGATAGTTATAGGTGTTCCGTGTTCATCATAATGATGAAAATCTAAAAAGGGTAGAAAAGAGCACAAAGGTTGGTACACATGTGCCAGTGCCAGCAGGGGCGGAACTACCTATGGGCTTGGAGGGGCTTGAGCCCCTGCAGTTGTTTTTATATTTATTATATATATATTAAACATAAAATTGTAAGTTGTAAATATTAATAAAACACGTGTGTTGTACATTAATAACTAGTATGTTAACAAAAAGACATTGCACCATAGTGGAGGAGGCATTTCGTGCATGTTTTAGGTTTATGAAATGATCTAGGGTTCGAATCCCATCTTTGTTAACTTTATATTTTGCTTTACTTGTGTCTTTTTTAAGCTCTAAAATTATTTTAAAAGACTTTAAATAGTTGTATTCAAATTTTGTGATGTACTAGCACATTGGTAGGAATCACAATTTTGTTATGGCAGCTTTCTCATCAAATCAACACATCATATTTAATTTCTTGCTTTTTGGTTTCATAAAAAAATCATTTGATCTTGTACGTAATTAAATTTGTGATTTCTGAGTTTGCATTTCAAGATATTATTTTCTAGGATAAAATGTATATGTAGTATATTCTAGATGATGGATGCAACATCTTTCGGAGACCTTCGCTTTCTCATTAAGTGCCCCTCCAAGGTGCCCGAGCTGGTTCCGCCACTGAGTGCCAGTGCCAGTACCACAATCATCTATACAACCGGGACCAACATCATGACTATGATGTTTCAACTTTCAACTTGCAAATGTCTAACGGCTAAGAGAAATGATAGCGAATTTCAGAAAACCTCAAGAAGACTGTCATCTCAGTGATGATCTATACCAACTCATTATGGCATTAAGAATAATTGGATATTGTTTTAAACTATAAATACAGATGAACACCAAAACAATAGGTAACAAACCTATCAAGTAAAGTCTACTTAAGGAATGCCGCCAGACATCTGATACAGCTTCAGCAGGTCAGGAACTTTGCTCTCATAGCATTTTACAAACTTACTTAGAAACTTTTCTTCAGATGCGACCAACATTCTTGAGAGTAGCTTTAGGTCCTCTGTTAACAAACCCTCCGCTGCCAGTGTTTGATAAACAAAGGACCTAGGAATGATCCTTTTCTCCAAACTAAGCATAAACATCACTGGGGATCTCAAGATATCCGAAGACTTGAATCCCATTTTGTTTACCAGAAAACCCATTCCTTGTAAAATCTTTTCTTCAGAGCATGCCATAATCCATGGGTTCCTCACAAAAGCTTCAATTATCTGATCCTCTGAAAGTTCCCAATTCTTATAAGCGTGTACCTTCTTTTCCCAAGTTGATTTACTCATGGAACAAAACACATGCACTGCAACCATAAATGTTCTTCGGGATGGGTCAAACCCCATTCCCTTGATTTCCTCCAAAATCTTTACAAACTTATCCTTGTCCTTGATGAACAATCTAGGCTGGTGGTGAAGATAATGCGCAATTTTTGATTCAGGCACTTTCATTTCCTTCAGAATGCGAATATTGTATAGCATTATAGCCTGAGTTGATATTGAAAAAATCCAAGGGCTACGCTTTAGGGAAACTTTTAGCTTCTCAGGAGAAGGTAGAAACTGTTTAAGGAAATGTATAGTTGGGAAAAGATTATTCTCTAGGCTTCTCCTGAAAATACTAGGGCAACCACACAGCATAGTAGTGTAGTCTTCCACTGTGAAACCTAAAGACTTGAAAAATTCAATCTTGGGCAGAAGGATGTTTTGGGGATTACACAGCAGTACTTGGGGGGATCTTCGAACTACTTCTGAGATCTGCGTTTCTTTGAATCCATGATTTTTCAAGAAGGAAAGCACAGACTCCGGTTTATCTGGGGTGTTGAATGTTATATAATTAGAAGCTGAAAGAGCCTTCTCTGGAGAAAATCCACATCTATCTACCAGGTAAGAAACAACAAATGAATCCTTCTCGGCTCCAATTGAGAATACATTTCCAGCTTTTGTTACAAAGAGCTTGATAATCACAGTAAGCGAAGATCTAGCGGATGACCTCAAATGCGGATATGTCTTACGGGCGAAATTCAACATTTGATTTTTAGGCTGGTAGAAAATGCTCCCGGAGATCTTGGAAGAGGAGCCGCACTGATCAAGAAATCTTCGCAGGAGATCGAGAAAATATATATCGAGTAATTCATACAGTAAAAATACCCTAATATTTACAGGCACATACTTTAAACTTTTAAAGCACTAGAGAACGATGTCGTATACCGGGAACTGGGAAAATCAGAAGAGATAAATGATAATAATCATATAATGTGGTTTAGGATGTTAATAATTGTAATCATTTTAGTCCTAAATCAGCCTAAACTACACCATATCAAATTAATGTAGATCAAACTGTACCATTTGTAAAATAGACATTGATCAGACTAGACTAGGGATGGACTCGGGCCGGGTGGCCCGACCCGGAACCGGCCCGGGACCGGTACTGTTCCGGCCCGGCCCGAACCGGTGGCCCGGTCAGTGACCGGTCCGGGTAGGCCCGGCCCGTGGGTTTTCCGGTCCGGGCTCGGGTCACCCAAAACAAGGCCCGACCTGGCCGGGCCAAAAACTATTTTTTTTTCAATTTTTTTTACATTTTTGGGTTGGGCTGGGTATTTTGGGCCATTTGGGGTGGTTTGGGGGTTGAGGGTGGGAGGGGGGTTAATTAGGAAGAGGAAAACAAAAAAAAAATATATAATGGGCCCAGCCCGGCCCGGACCGGACCCGGTGGTTACCCGGGCCGATCCCGGGTCCACCATTTCTGACCCGCTGCCCCGCCCGGGCCTAGGCCCAACCCGGACCCGGCCCGGACCCGAGTCCATCCATAGACTAGACATGTTCATATCAAATCATATTTAAACAGACTAGATCAAAGAGTTACATTCCAAATAAAATCATCCTTGGTGAATTAGTTAGAAATTGTTTACTTTTTTCTATTTAGTCCTATCTAAGATAGGGTGTCTGTCTCTATTAAAATATTTATTTGAATTAGGAATGTTTTTAATTGAACTCATTTCAATCCAAGAACAGACGAACAGTGATGAAAATTTCTATTTAAATGGAATTTGTGTATAAGGCTGCTTATTTTGTATGCTGAAATTCTGAAAAGCCGTCTAAATAGAAAAAATGACCAATTTAATATTATTATTGCACTATATTGTCATTGAGCAATTTCATTTTTTAACATAAATGTATTTTGTAATTGTTTTCAAAAAATAGCTGAATAAAAGTCCTAATAGGCATTTTAATGAAAAGGGCTACTATTACAACTTAATTATTCAGGCATTTTTTTACCGGATTATTAACCGTGTTTTCAATGAGTCGTAGGTAAATTTGACTTAATGATTGAACGATTCAGCCCATTAAATCACAATTGTTACCTCTTTAATTGAGGGTGTGCTTTCAATAAGAACAATGTTTGACATGATGACACGAAAATTTAAATCAATGTGATGCACAATGACGATGGTGCCTTCGGCGGGCGATAGAGAGTTGTGTTAATGGGCCTTCACACACAGGCTGACAAAGTTTCATCAAACACTGAAGGACACAATCAGCTGCAGCAAGGAAAGATTGCAATTTGGGCCTTTCAACAAATGGGACATAGTTTACAAGAAGTGCCATTGCATTGATTCTCAACTGTAGTGATGCATCAGAAGAAGCCAGCAAAGCTACTTCATCCCAAGTTCTTGACACTAGAGCAGAAAGTACATCAGGCTCTGATGGAAGTACTTCATTATCAATTATAGTTGGCAATATGAAAACAGTTCTGCAACTTCCACCTTGACTCACATGCTTTCCTAGTTGCTTAAGCCCAATGAAGCGTTGTTCTGGCTCTGGATGGCAGAGAATTGAACATAAGAGATCAATCAGAGCTTCACTTTCTCGGATTCCTCTCGTGAAAAGTGAGGTCAGCCACTTATCTGTTTGTAGCCGCCAAGCAATTACCGGTGCGTCTTGTGAAAATGTTTTTATTGCAGCACATATATTATTAACCGTGCTTTGTAAATCGAAGAACTGAGGAACATGAAATAGACAGTCAAGGATCACTGATGCAACCCCCCAGCAACGGTTTTTCTGAAGCAATATAACCATTTCAGAAAGCGCTTCAAGACTGACCTTCCGATTATCTCCACTAGAAGAGATAGACTCAGGCAGGCTTTGCAGATCAGCTCCTCCAGAAACAGCAACTTTTTCAGCAACATAAGATAAGCATCTTAAATACATAAAACACTCTGCAGAGATTAGTGTGAGATTCTTGGCCAGTTTAGGATGAATTATGTAGCATTGCTCGACAGTATGGGTGAGCTTAGAGATTAGTGCGCCTAAATTCTCTGAGAACATATATAGTTCATTAGTATTTAGTAGTCGTTTTTCATTCACACCCTTTTCATGTTCGCTACTTTGATTCACCTCAACTGAAATGTTGTAAACATCTTCAAGAAAACATGGAAACTCAGATCCATCACCTTTTCTCGCACCCATTTCAATGTTAGAAAATTCAGAGATCTTACATGGAATGACTCCCGAGAATTTTAAAAGGTCAATCATCAAAACCTTGCAACTTTGCATAAGAGCCTGATATGCACAAAGATAATCATGAAACAATGTTGTTTGCTCCAAAGAGGTAAAATATGCAGATTTGAAACAAGCTTTTAACAGTTCTATTTTGCAACTGGAAGAAATATCAGGAAAAACTGAAGCCAAAACAAAAACAGTCAATGCTCTGCAACGGCCTCCTGAATCACCTTTGTTTTCACTTTTGATGGTACTGAGAAGTTCACCTAAGCATAATGACTCAAAATTAAGGCACATAGCATCAGTACTCACTAAACTCTCCTCATCGGATGCCTTTTGCAAGGAATATGAGATGATCGGCTTGAGCAAAAGTAAAACAGAATTTAGAAATGAAACATCACAATATGCAGAGCTGCACAAAGAAACCAGCACTTGCACAATTCTTGGTATCTCGGGTGCTATTGCCTCCATATGTTCAGCTACAATTGCTTCAAGAACATAAAGAACTATAGCTTTTGCGTTCTTTGCCACAAAACCTTTCACAGAATCATTCTGAAGGGAAAGCTGGTTCTTTGGGTAGCAAATGAAAGGCTCTGAACAGAACTCAGAGAACCAACAAATCAAATCTGGAACTGTTGAAGAAGGGAAAGCTCTAAGTTGCAATGCAACAGCTTGCAGTATAGATTCCCCAAAAGTTTCAAATTCGTTTTTCAAATTGGGAAAGAAATGACTAATATCAGGGTAACTAATGCGGAAAGAACGTCGCTTACTGCAAGATTCTTTGCTTTTTTTGGCCTCATCTTTATAATCAGATATATTATCAACTGCAGCAAGTTCATCTGCAAAAACAGAGAGCAAACGTGCCAATTGCTCCATATCTGAAACAAGAAAGAGCCTATCCTTCCTATATCGTATAGCATTACGAGAGATTGCCATCCAACCAAGAAATCGGGCTAGTGGAGAGACAGAAGTTGAGAATGTGGGTATTTTCTCAAGCCAGACTGAAGGAGGGATTAGATTTGCAAACTGAAGACAACCATTGACATTGATAGAAAGCTCCGATCTTTCAGCACAATCACTTGAAGCAATCACTAGTCTTTTAAGAAGCGTCCATAAACGTTGGCCTAGTTGTAGCTTCCACTCATCTAGCTTTGTATTTCCCTCTTTAAGTTGATAATAAAAAGATGTCAACTGAATGTTTAAATGCTCGGCAGACTTCAGTATAATCTCAATAATATCTGTCGGTGAACAAAATAATTTAGTTCCTGAATGCAGAAGGAACAAAAGCATTTGCAGGAGTACCTCATGCTTGAGGTAATTATCTCTTTGTAATTTTCCGACAACAAATCTGCAAAGAAGTGCTTGATTTTGTCGAAGTAAAGTAATGGCATCTTCTGCTTGAGGATCATTCTGAGGCAACCTTAAGACTTCATTTCTTCGTCTTCATCACGGTTTTGCTGATACCCCCTGTCTAACTCCGCAGCTTGAAGCATAATTTCAAGAACAATTTTGTCCCTTTTCCTTTCAAGATTGATTAATGTTTTCAAGTCATTTTCGTTCTCTTCAAACTATATGTTGAGATCAGCAAATCCGAAATTCCTGCTAGCCCTGTAACCTTTCCTTTGGCTGCTTCTAACCATTGGAATGTCCTTGAAGGACATCATGAAGAAGGGATTCACATGGCATTCAGCAGCTAAAAGAAGCGCATCTATAACAGCATCATGACTCTCAGGAATCATATTCTTATTCTGAGAATGTAAATCCAAAGCTAAATGCCTAAACTCAGAAGATCTCAGCTGGCAATCTCGATGGTTCATAAGTTGTAAACAATCCGCTTGCAAATTATTATGATAATCAATAGTGTTGTTAGTTCCAAAAAATGGATCAAGGAACTGGTAGTCTGGATCTTTCTCAATGAGGTTAACTTTGGGATCACTGCGGCTTGAAACAGAGGACGCTTTTGGGGGACTATTGCAAGAAGCTGTGATGAGTGACATTTTGTTAATTTCAGGAGGACAAAAGAGAAAGCTCACTTCATCCGAAAGATCCATCTTCGAAGACATATCAAAAGTAGTCTTTCCGTCTATGCCATCTTGGGTCATAGGCATTGAAGCAACACTGCCATTGAGAATAGCAGTAGAAGAATCCGGTGATATAGATGATGATTCTGAATCTGCCAAAAACTGGCGATGGTTGACACCTGGAGGTACCTGAATGTGAGGCTCCAAAACTGAGAGTAGGACACTGAAAAAATACATTGACTCAGAATGAGCATAAATGAACATCAGAACATTTATATGCTGGAGTTAGCAGGAAAATGTATTCATATACCCGTTATACATCCATCATAAATTAACATCAGAACATCCACATGCTAATGTTCATTTCAAGCACATGATCTTAATGAAATAATCAACCGCCAATAAAAAGGTTCAACATTAGTAATACTTGACAAAGGGTGGTATGCAGTTTTTCCCTTACCTAGGAGAAACTGATCCCCGTCGCCACTCAGCTTCTAAGGACGGAAGGAAAGCAGGCTTTCTTACAGCTGTACGAATGACATTCAGTGCAAGAGCACAGTCGTGCTCTTGCTTTTCAAGAGAAATAGATGGTACATTCCCAAATGTAATTACACTCTGTAGTGGGGTAATGGCTGGATCCAGATAAGGGTCAAGCATCTCAATCAAAAACAGAACTCGGTGTTTCACATCTTTATAGGAAAAAAAAATAAAAAACAAGTGGGAGTGTCAGGACTCAGGAGCTAGTAACTTCAATTGAGTTTCATGTGTGTGTGTGTCAATGCATGTGTAAGTGTGTGTGTGTATATTATTGATTTCATTTAATAGCTTGCCTTAAGTTTTGACAAAACCTCATCCATATGCCCAGATAGAGCCAAAACAATGTATTTGAGGGTTGCACGAGCTTGAGCAAATGAATGGTGGACACCCTGATGTAGTCACCATCAATTAAAAAAATTAATTTCTTCTTACCGGATAAAAAATGAGAACCCATGACTATGTGAGTAACATCATAATCAAGTTCATCCGCAAAATACTGGGATCATTAACAAGTGGACCAAGATAATAGAAGCTACACCTACCTGGATTACAGCTAAAAGGTCCTCCAAAAGCTCAATAGTTAAGTCCACCTGACTAGAAGGCAGACCAAAATAATTTACCAGGTACGCGAAATATATAGATAAATAAATAAATGTTCCAACCTGAGATAGGGCTTGCTGTAGATAAACTACTAAGCTACGGATTTGATCTCAACCTGAGATAGGGCTTGCTGTACAAAAGGCATTTTCCACTGGGAGAAATTGTCATCAACTTGATAAGCAATGGTGACACTAGGACGCAGCGCTAGAGTACACCCAAAAAAGAACAAATTTAAAATATTGTGAAGCAGGGTACAATGCCTCAAATTGCTAAATACTATGTAATGGTATACACTAAACACTAACTTCTTTTAGCCGTAAATAGCTTACATATTCATAATGGCTGCCGCAAAATGTTAATTCATCCAAGAATTACATGGGAAATATCATGAGAAGACGATGACTAAGATTGATGATAATGTAAAATCAATATGTACTTTACGGAACAGGACCAGCAAAATACTTCTACATGCGCAAATAACACCACACAGAACATTGCACCTAATTGGATTGTGTTGAAGATTTCCTTGAGAGTACTTTCCAAGGAAAACAATCATAACTTCCTTGGAATCCATCCCTCACCCATATAACTGGGCTTCCTCTTCCTTGAAAAAAATAAAAATAACTTTTCCTGAAAAGTGATTTGTGTTCGGTGTGCCAAGTTGGGAGACGAATTCCATCTTTTCATTTTCTAGGGAAGGTGCTACTTTCCATTGCAAACAAACGGTGTCTTAGAAAATGGAAGTGCACGAGGATTTGAAAGTGCAAAGTAGGGCGACAAACAATGATGGAAAAAGGGGAGGAATTTTATAAAATGCAAACCTGGAAGCAATGCTATTACTAGTGGCAATGCTGACCAAAAGTCTGAAGAATTATCTGCAAACTTGCTGCAAAGCAGAGGCTGCAGAAGTGGCATGTATATGTTATTTCATGTAAGTGTATCTAGAGTACACAAACATAAGGCTTTGTTTGAAATGCAGAAATGGTAGGGGAATGGGGGAAATGTAAAGGAGAATATTTTTTATGCTTGGTTTGAACTTGAAAAATGAAAAAGAAAAATATATATGACTAAAAGCTTTTGAAGGTTTACATATGTTTTTATTTCTTAGTACTCATGTACTAGAAATATTTGAACTAAATAAGCATGAGCAAAAATTTAAATTGATCCATCAAGTTTGGACCAATATTTTTTAATCTTTTCCCAAATTTTCTTTCCATAGATATTTCTCCTCTATTTCCTTCCTATTTTCTTTCCATGGTATTTCCCAAGCAGGCACTAAATGTTTCATGAAACATTGTTTCACAATATACCTGTGATGCACAAGCATATAGAACATGCAAAACCCCTTCTTCCACCAGTGCAATGTCTAACACATTTATAATATTGAAGTTTGGATGCTCAGGTATCCGAAATTCCTCCCCAAAAATGTCCGAGTAATATATGAAGGAAGCAGGATGGGAAAGATCTGGTTTTTTTCCTTCATCAGGCAGAGAAGATCTATTGTCAAGAGGTTGGGATGTTTCAGTCATGCTACTAGGGCTCATAAACTTTAGTAAAATTTGAGAAGCCTGGAGTGAGATGAAAGAATGGTCATACACTTTTCATGTGCAAATGAAACAAAATACTTTTAACAAAGTAAATAACTAAACATGATTTCAAGATGAATATAATGAATTCATGTTACCACTCTGCAAACATTTCCTAGGTGATAATCCTTATGTGCCTTTCTAAGTAGCATGAAGATTGCATCTGGACGGAATGCTAGGTAACTAGAAGTGGGTACGACCAAAGGAGAAGTGTTGCGTGATCTTCTTGGCTGCAATGGGGGAAAATGTGGAATATAATACGCATCTATCCTAGCAAACATGAGAACTGAGAAAATAAGTTGAAAAATTATTATTATATGAGCATGTAACAACAGAAATTAAGCACCACTCTCTTGTGGGGTTGGTAGTTTATGTAGCATCATCCTCATGACAGTACATTGTATTAATGGGGACTGCTTGGTGATCACTATATCATTAATGGCAGTCATAATTTATGAAGCCATCAAGCTCCATAAGTGAACCTCGTTTAGCTCATTTTAATTTTGGATAGATCACCCAGTTCCTACTACCGCAATCAAAAGTTTCAAAATAATGAAAGGAAGGAGAGAGAGGAGGAAGGAAAGAAAGCGTGCAACTGTAATTATGCATAAATGTGATGATAAGCACGCGGGAAATCAAGAAGAACAGGTTATATCCAGGATTTGTAAGAACAAAAGAGTTACTAAGTTATTACAATTAACAACACCAATCAATATGGTGCCCAACATTTTCAAAAAAAAACAGAGTCCATCCATATCCCAAACAAAGAAAGGTAGATGCATTAGACAGCTCAAACAGATGTTAAAACGTATCGAACAAATCATGAACATAGAATACATCAACCCAACATCAATTCAAGTGGAGTATTTACTTAATATGAGAATATGACCCCTCAAACTTTTTAGGGACATGGGTTATCATTTTCAACAACAACAACATTACCCCAGTATCGTAAAGGCTCCCACCTATGGTGGGGTAAGGGGGGTCGGATGTACGCAGTTTTACCTCAATACTAAAGCACAGAGAGACTGTTTCCGGATGACCCATGATGAAAATTGTCAAAAATTGCATAGACTGACTGCAGCTTCATAACAAAGAAGCGCAAATAGTTTAGTGAGCCACTTTGCTTTATTCCATCATATTCTCAAGTAAAAAAAATAGTGAGTATTTGGCTCCATTGGAAATGATGGACAAGAGATGGGTTATCATTTTGAGATAAATAATTTATTATGGCGAAAAAAACTTTCAAAAAGGGAATAGTAGCACATAATGAGCAGTATACATACATACTTCAAAATTAGATGAAACTGTCAAAGCTGATGGAATCTGATTATTCCTAGAAGTTTCGGTTTCTGAAGTATTGCATGTCAACCTTGTTGCTTCTCTGCAACAGAAAATGGAATGTTGAAATGTGGAATTACAATTAAAATTTATAAAAAGGGGTTCTTCTATGTGGGAGTGATGAAATTTGTAGAATCATAGAAAGGGATTAGTCAATTACTGAAAGAGAATTTCAACAGTGAAACTGAAAAATCACTATGACAAGACATCCAAAGAGATTTAGTGTACTAGAAGTGGGAAAAGAGTTCCATCCTCACCTTTTCTAGACGGTGTTACTAATTTGTACAAAAACTCTCAACACTTAACTAACAGCGGCCAAGTATAATTGATAAGGAGTAAAAGGCAAGGTGCTGAATATCTAGAAAGATAAAATTTTATAAATTATACTACCTCCGTCCCGTTGAAAGGTTCCCATGGCAAAATAGTACAGTTATTTAAATAATATGTAGTAATTAAATAAGATAGTTTGTGTATATTTTGAGAAATACTTTTGATTGGTTTATAATGTAATGAGATAATGGTGATAACGGTGATGTTATAAATGTATTACTTTTAATATTTAATGATTATATTGTCATTTAAGAGTATTAATTGTTTCCTAAAATAGAAATGAGAACCTTTATATGGGACGTCCAAAAAAGGAACGTGAGAGCCTTTATATGGACGGAAGGAGTAATAAACATTAAAAAAAATGTGTGTAAGGTAGAAAGAAAATAACATGAAATACCTGAAGGTATTAAACAGCAAGACTAGCTTGCCAAACAACCTAATGCTACCCAACTCTAAGAGTCCTGATTCTACAAATCTCTCAATGCCTCCAATGATAAAGGAAGCCATTATTTATAACCTATGAGTCTATGAAAATATTTAAATAATGTAAAATATAATTAACTATCAATTATTCCTTATACCATGCTAACCATGATATATTGCTAGAAAGCCTAGAATCTTTCGTTTAAGCAAATCTGATTCATTGTGATCCTTCGACTGATTCCCTGATTGCTTTTCTTTCGTGGTGGTTTTCTTGATTTCCTCTACCTCCTCACCAATAATATTATAGATTAGAAACGTAGATGCCACCATGTTTTCAGACAAGTACTAGCATGTTACTATTCTCAATGGTGCCAAACTCCACACTATTGTTAGACAGAAAATATTCATATTAAGGAGCTTACCTGGAATAGTTACATCCAATAAAAAAATAAGCTCTATGGGTAAAAAAAGCAATCAAGGGTACCAACCTTTCCTTTACAACATGAAGAATTGGATAAAATTGACCAACAAGCGTCGCAAGGAATCGAATACCATGCTCTGCTGCTTCTGAAAAGCCACTAAGATCAGCCTGAAGAGAATAAAATGAAGTTTTAAATAACATACAGAGTATTCAAACAAAATTTGAGATTGTAAAAGAAATCTTGTATTTCTGGAATCCATGTTAAAGCAATACCTCTAGTTGGGGAAGGAATGGGCCCAGCCTGGTTGTAATGTCTTGAAGCAACTATGAAACCATAGTTAGGCGGATATGACATACAAGGATAGTAAAAAATTATGAATGAACAAATGATACTAACTAAATACATGTGTGTGTCTGCACCTGTGTGCCCATTCACATGAAATAATTTTGCCGCTTATAGTCCCAGAAATATTTTCATTTTTGGTTTTTGACAATTATGTTTTCACTTTTGTTGAATGACTTTGAATTTTTTTCAAGTTTTGGTCCTTCGATCCAAAATCAAGTGACTGACAGAATGATAGCAGGACCATGAGTAAATATGTTCTGTAGGCATCCCTTCCGTCACCCAACTTATGTATTCCCAAAATAAAATATTAATAATTTAATTTTTATAATAGATAATTGAGTCAATTATTCTATCTTTGAGGATGACCATACCCTGCCGACACAACCAATAAAATAAGACCACTCTGCCTATGGAATCTATTATTCTACCTTTAAGACCTCCACTGAACCTTCTCAGTTGTTTTTGTTTTTTGTTTTGCTTGTACGAGCGTATTAGCAAAGCATATTACATAAATCAGGAACAACCTTCGCACAGAAAGTTATGAATTCACTTCAGATCTGCCCAAATTTGCTATCTCCATTTCTAAGAAGTTTTCTTGGTGGCTTCTCATTAAATGAAGGGTCCATAACCAGAATTCCCATGATCCCCTACTGCAATGTGGTGTATATTGAGATGGTTCCAATCCCAGCTATGATGTCAAGGGTCAGGCTAGCCACCACGCAGTCCACTCATGTAATTGTAGTTTTTTATAAAATAAAAATCCTTTCCATGAAAGAAAAATGAAGCTCTCCTGTGCCAGGTGAACCATACTTATGCTCTCCAGAGTCTCCAATTATTATTGGGTTTCTGTGAACTCTTTCAGCACACCAACAACAACATTACCCGGTGCCGCAAAGGCTCCCACCTAGGGTGGGGTAAGAGGGTCAGATGTACGCAAGCTTACCCCTGTGCTAAAAATAGTAAGCTTATTCCATCATAAAGTGCAGACAATTTAGTGAGCCATTTTATTTTATTTCATCATATTCGCAAGCCGAAAAATAGTAAATCCTTAATATTGAAAAATCCACTCAATCATCATTTCATTTTCATTTACCCCAGTGCCGCAAAGGCTCACACCTATGGTGGGGTAAGGGGGGGTCGGATGTACGCAGTCTTACCCCTGTACTAAAGCACAGAGAGACTGTTTCCGGATGACCCATAGTGAAAATCCCGTCCAAAATTGCATGGACTGACTGCTGCTTCATAACAAAGAAGCGCAGACAGTTTAGTGAGTCATTTTGCTTTATTCCATCATAATCTCAAGCCAAAAAATAATGAATCTTTGGCTCCAATGTAAAAGATGGGAAAAAATCCACTCAATCATGGGGAAGAAATTGGTGATGACATAATGTTGAATTGTCTAAACCCCATAGTGAAATATGCTAAAGTTCCTCAATTTGTTTGACTTTTTCCTCTTCCTGCTAATCCGTGAAGCACATGGGACCCATATTAACTTCGGTTATGGAGCCACTCTATGAGTAGAGTAAAATCCAGCTGTGTGCCTGTGTACAAGGTAGAACTTGATCAAAGAAAATGAGAACGTTGGTATGAGCTGGTTGCTAAACCCAGTGCTACTAATGATGAAGCCTTTGAGCAGTCAGATAGAATATGGTTCTGACTTTTGAGATATTTGGAAGAGAGAAAAATGAAAGGAACATTCTTTATAAAGATAAAATACCCCTCAAAAGTATCACGTGTCTCAGATTTACCCATGTTACGGCCATCCATCATTATATTTTTATGTTAAAAGGGACAAGGTGTGGCAAAAATTTCAAACTCGTGCACTAAAAGTTACAAAAGATGATAGTCGACCGAAACTCATGGGACTAAAAGTGGCAGAACTCCACAACCACATCAGAAATGAAAAAGGAAAATAGATGCATTGATCAGGACATTAATAGGTAATTTTATTGTGTTTGTGCAACAACTAACAGAAATAGTTTTCACCTGAAGATGCAAATTGGAAGCATCTTGTCTGTGTGACACTATGTGCGGTAGTAGGTAGTCTATAACAGGTTGGAACTCCGGTTCGAGTCCAGTAACAGAAATGCCAATCAGCTGTACAAAAGCTTAAAAAAAGTTAAAGTGAGAATTATATTTGCAATATCGCAGGTAGTAAATTGAAAAGCATAGTTTGCATAAATGTTCCACTATTCAGAACTAGTTTAATATTAGTATGTCCCAATTTATAAATCCCAATTTCTTTTAGCATGCATGTTGAAAAAATTATATGCCATCAACTTTAAAACTTTTAATTATTTTAAACCGCACCAAAATTGAATTTCCAGATTTACCCTCTAAAAGGTGGTATTTTTCATTTTTTTAAAGTGAAAGCGAGTCAAGGAATTTTTTTCCGAGTCATAAAAAACGCCAATTGGAAAGGTAAAAACCAAAAACTATGTGGAATTCTAAAAAGGAAACTGAACATAATTGTGAAACCAGCCAAAAAAGAAATTGGACTTATAAATTGAGACCGGGGTTCAAGTCAGAAATAAGTCAAGAACACAAAGACTAACTACTGTACCTGAAAAAGGAAAAAGAAAGCTAAAGTAGAGTAATTAACTATCAAAACATGAATACAAACAAAAGCATGCACTTAAGTGTGACCTGAATGAAGAAAAGTGCTATAGGGGAACCCCTTAAGCAAGATATCTGAATATAACGACAAGGAGTGTAGTTCATAGGGTACATCATGTCGCGTCGAGGTGCTTCACAGCGAGGTCTGACTTTCATAAAAGTCTCAGGCTATCAAGAAAAAAATGATTAGAGAGAGGGTCATTTTCTCATAGAGATAATGAGAAAATGAAAAAAATCACTAGAAAGCCCTCTTTACAGACCTATAACAGTTTACCAATGACAACTTATATGTTTTGTACCGCTCTCTCAAGACCGCATTCAATAATCTTAAGGAGAATAAAAACAAAACAAAAAACATAATAAGAGTGACCGGTCATTCCGGCCAAACATCTCTTTCTGATACCTTGTAGCGAAGGCCAGCTGAAATTTCCCGTTCCAGCACAGATTTAGTATATATCCTTAAATGTGAAAGCAGACAAGGTTCCTGCAATGACGAGGCATTAAGATATAATGACATACTTTAATCAATTACGTTGCACATTGATAATCTTCAGAAGCCTAGTTCATCAATCAGAGCTGACATAATGAAAATAAGAAACTGTAATGTGCATGGAAAACAATATGTGTAGTATTGTGCACACACAATTTTCCTCCCCATAAAAGTGCCTGATATGGGGAGACGGTAAAGTGTAAGAATTACGGAAATCCACGTATCTCTGAAACTGAAATAGACTCGTGCCTGAAAATTTCTAAGCACTTGGTAAACATGCATGAGCATATGCATTCCTAAAAAATGGGCAAGTATTCCTTTTGAAAAATGATTTACTTAAATTAAGCATACTACTGTTTATTGATGCTTAAAAAAGGACACGAAATCATGACAGGCTGTGATGGGAATTTATGGTACATGAGTGATGTATTTAAGCTTTTCATCCTTTCCAATGGAGCCAAAGACTCACTATTTTTTGGCTTTTGATGGAATAGAGCAAAATGGCGCACTAAACTGTCTGCGCTTCTTTGTTATGAAGTACCAGTCAGGTCATGCAATTTTCAACGCGATTTTCATCATGGGTCATCCGGAAACGGTCTCTCTGTGCTTTAGTACAGGGATAAGTCTACATACATTGACTCCCCTTTAGCCCACCGTAGGTGGGAGTCTTTGCGGCATTGGGGTAATGTTGTTGTTGTTGAGTGATATATTTAGGCACTTCTATCAACTTTCCTGGGTTAGTCACTAATAGACAAATATCCTAAAGCCAGTTACTCCTAAATGTGGGAGTGTGGATCTAAGAAAGAAATACTCAGTGCCATTCAACAGCTAATGACAGTTCTTATGAGATTACTATTTTTTGCTAGTCTCCCCAAGTTTCACATAAACAGAAGCAATCAATAGTCAATACCATAGACAGCCCAAGAATTAATCATTGTTAGAATATTATCCCGTGTTTCCTGTGACTTTTTTACTATTGGTGGATATAGGGTATCTCATGATTAATGGTATTGGAGATATATTAGGAGTTATTTTGTAGTGTATCCCAGGATTCTTGATTAGGGGTGACGATATATTAGGATTTGCTACTTAAAGAGTTACTAGCATTGGTGTTATTCCTTATATAGTGTAGAAATAACTTGAGAAAGTAAAATGTATTTTATTTCTCTTATTCTATGTAATACAATGAGATGAATACAGAATATATATAGCTAGAGAAAAGTGGAATAAGGAAGGAATCCTCCTAATTAAGATTCCCTAATAAAGACAAGATAATTGGGGATATTTAGAGATTCTGAGATCTCTAAGATATCTCCTCATAAATGCTAAATCGGATGAGTAATTATCTGTAATAATCTACACTCCCCCTCAAGCTGGGTGATGGATATCATCCATGCACAACTTGCTAGATAAGTCTTCAAACTGAATTCTGGGAAGTGCCTTGGTGAGTATATCCGCTATTTGCTGTCTGGTTGGAACATAGTTCAGCTGGATATCCTTTGCTGCAATCTTCTCTGATAAGAACCTTCTGTCTATATCAATGTGTTTGGTCCTGTCATGATAAACAGGATTCTTAGCAATACTGACAGTAGACTGGTTGTCACATGAGATCTAGATGGAGCTTTCAAATGGGAGTTTGAGCTCATTCATCAATCTTCTTAACCACAATCCTTCACAGATTCCTTGTGTTAAAGCTCTGAGCTCAGATTCCGCACTACTTCTAGAAACCACTGATTGTTTCTTGCTCCTCCAGGTGACTAAATTACCCCATACATAGGTACAGTAACCAGTAGTTGACCTTCTGTCTAAGAGGCTTCCAGCCCAGTCAGCATCTGTAAACACTTCAACCTTCCTTGTCCCTTGTTTCTGAAACAACAATCCTTTTCCAGGAGTCATTTTTAGGTACCTCAGAATTCTATACACTGCAGTTAGGTGTTCCTCGGTTGGGTCATTCATGAATTGACTTACCACACTTACTGAGAAAGCAATGTCTGGCCGTGTGTGAGATAGGTAGATTAGCTTCCCTACCAGCCTTTGATATCTACCCTTATCAACTGGTGGACTTTCAGTCTCACTGCCTATCTTCTTTGATATATCCATAGGAGTGTCCATAGGCTTGCACCCAAGCATTCCAGTTTCACTTAGCAAGTCTAGAACATATTTCCTTTGTGAAATGAAAATGCCCTTCTTAGATCTTGCCACTTCCATTCCCAGGAAGTACTTCAACTCGCCTAGCTCCTTGATCTCAAATTCTCTTGCTAGATGAGCCTTCAATCTGTCCAATTCAGCCTTATAATCCCCAGTCATAATAATATCATCAACATATACTATAAGAATAGCCAATTTTCCAGAGTCTGCTCTCTTTACAAACAGTGTATGGTCTGCCTGACATTGCATGAACCCTTGTTTAATAACTGATCTTGTGAACCTATCAAACCATGCTCTAGGAGACTGCTTTAGTCCATACAAGGACTTTTTCAGTCTGCAAACCTGACCAGATTTCCCCAAGTCTTCTAATCCAGGTGGTACATCCATGAATACTTCCTCTTCTAGGTCTCCATTAAGAAAGGCATTCTTAACATCTAGTTGATGTAATGGCCAGTCTAGGTTCACTGCGAGTGATAACAGCACTCTAATGGTGTTCAACTTTGCCACTGGTGCAAATGTCTCTGAATAATCAATGCCATAAGCTTGGGTGAACCCCTTAGCAACCAGCCTTGCCTTCAGCCTTTCAATCTTTCCATCAGCCTGATATTTAACTGTAAATACCCACTTGCAGCCAACAGTTCTCTTCCCTGCTGGCAAATCTGTAAGCACCCAAGTTCCATTCTTCTTCAATGCTGTTAATTCATCATGGACAGCCTTCCTCCACCCCGGATGTTCAA